TAAATATTCTTTTTCAATAAAACTTTTTAAATTTATTTTTTATTACATATAGAACGTTTACGTCAATTGTGGAGGTGCTCCATTCAAGATGAGGTTGTACATACGTATTAAGATTTAAGAGAAACACAGACATATATGTAATACTATTATATGACACAAATATAAAATACAATGAATCATTGGGTACTTTCCATTTGATGACACAAGCCGACACAAGTGTCGTTCCATCCTTGTTGACATTCAGAGAGTGACAAAGACGAAACGACAATTGTGTCGACTTGTGACTCATCAAATAGAAAGCATCCATTATATCCTTGTTGTTCGCCTATACTAAACAAAGATGAAACGACCACTGTCTTATTACTTACAGCATCATGTATGTATGTACAGCACATTGGATGCGATATATGAGCAACGAGCGATGTCCAATGAAACCTCTGCTTTTTCTTACACGACGATGTAAAACTGAACTCTCATTGGATATCGCTCATCGTTCTAGTGTGCAGTAGACATTATCGCCGACGAGATACTATTAAAGACTGTCAACTCTGGGCAAATTTTCGGCGGTATGAAAAAGACCCGGAGGTAATTGAAGAACGCTAACATTATCGACAATTGATAGAAATTTGCTATTATTAATATAAATATTTGGTTCATACATTATTAAATTCATGATTTTTTTATTACATAAATGTTCCATAAATAAATATGCATACTTGTAAAGCTATAATATTCTATATATTGCAGAAAAATTACAATTTTCCCTCTGCAGTTATCATCTCTGTTGATAATCAAACTTTGATGAGCACTGAAATCACAATTCTAAAGAAAAATCGAATATTATTGAATTCTAAATGCATAAATACGTCCACTAAACTAATAAATCATAAAATTGGTACAATACTTTCAGTTTTTAACTCTTAATTACTTCAATATTCATCAGGACGCCAACTCCCGTAAGGATGTCGGTCCTTAATAGTATCTCGTCGATGGCATTATACAGTGCTGCTTGTTGAAAGCTTACTAAACCAACATTTAAATAATTGAATTGAAATTTCAATTAGAATTCGACCAATCAAAATACTGAGAATTGCGGAGGATTAAGATTAATGCCACCGGATTGATAGAATTCCAATATTTGCCGATATTCGCCTCATAATTTTCAATTTTTGTGTCTTAAATATTTGTTCAAATTCCGGATCAGGTGATCAGCCGCGGTTTCCTCAGCGCACTTCATGCGGTTTTGCGCCTCTCGATATCTCGCTCGGTATCGACGCGGTTTTTCACGTTTGAAACAGTTCGAGCCTCGAGGGTTCGAAGACTTCCAAGCCGTTAGCCGAACTCCGAGGAACAGCTGACTGAAATCTGAAATCGTGCGTGATAATAGTGATAATACACTGTAATACACGCCGACGCAACATCGGCAACATGTTCGGTTCAACACTCTGGAGAGCCGTGATGCTCGTTGGCCTGGTTGCGGCGTTTTACGATACGACGGTTTCCACAACGCATAGATTGAACGTGCCTCGAGTCCTGTTGCCAGTATTCAACAACTTCGCGGTGAATTTCACGCTGGAGGTGACAGACGGCGGTTGCTATAAATGGTGATTATATCACTTCTTCTTTTCGTTTCTTGCAATTACAAACTACTAGTCGCGCCGACGCCGACTCTCGGTTGCGCGAAGCTATCTCCTTCCTTGAACATGAACTTTCCATCACATAGCACTAAGCACGTCGCTGGGGTTGCCGGTCACGTCATAACCTCATTTAGAAATACGTTCCATACACGTTTCACGCATTGATGCGTATGGCGTATCATTTTATCTATCTTATTCGTTATTGACCGAATATAGATAAAGAAGGATAAAATAATGATACATCATGCGTGAAACGGAACGTATCATGAATATCTGATATCCGTGATTTTTGACAATCAGTGTAATTTTTCCGCGAGTTAAAGGTTGCGTCCCTGTGACGTTGTACTTTCTTTTGCCTGGAATAGAATAAACAAATGTGGTGCCTGTTTGCGAAATTGGTGATATTACCCTCCGAAGCTGACGCTAAAATCTGTAACGCAAGTAGCAATACTGGATCTGACTCATTTAATTTATGTTAAATAAAAAACATTTCCAAATTTCAAGGAACTTTTAATAAGAATAATTCAAATTTGCAGATGTAAAAAGAATTATTTGATATTTTTCATAGAACCCATACAGCATAACTCTCTAAGGGATGTTTTAAAGATTTCTGAACACGTCTTTATATTCCCAGGACATTTCTTAGATAAAGTGTGCTGTGTGTGGAAGATATTTAATTGAGTAAGTCCAATAAATCTATTGTTAGGTCCGGAGGAGATTAGATAGTGCATCTAGATAGGTACTTGCATCTTTATTTT